TAGGGTACGTGCGCTCGCCAGAAAGACAGAGACACAGAGAGACAGAAAGAGAGAACTCACCCCTGGGGGGATGGCCATGCTGCAATCCCTTCTCCTCCATCCTTCTCTCGGGATCTTGGGCACGCATGCACATGCGCCTGGCATGAGTTTAAGGCACTGGGTCTGGAACTTGAACCATGGTCGACTACATGGGAGTCCAGCAACATAACCATTACACTATCTTCTGGTCCTGTTTCTGTTGATTTTCAGTCATGTTTTGTTTTATATAAGCAATTGAAAGAAAACTAGACATTGCATATGAAGAATTCTAGATGTAATTTGAGACTCTAAATGAGCCTCCAGAGAAAGGGTTCACTTTGTTTCTGAAAGGAAGTTAGGCTAGTAGCATTAGCAATCTGAGATCATCTTAATCCAATGAGTTTAATATTATTTGAATCTGGGCTTCAATTCCTGTGAGGGTTGGTATATTTCTAATCTCTACCTTACTTCTAGGATTTGGCCCATCATAGTCCTAATCCAAAGCTTGTGTTTTTACCAATATTCATTCTCACCCTTGGCAAATTCTGACTTCACCTTTTGCCTCCCTATTGTCAGGAACCTATGAAAGTGCTGCTTAGCCTTTCACATACTCCTTTCAGAATCTACAGATATCTCTAGGGGATAAGCAACACTGAACACCAGGCTTTTCTCTTAGGGCTTTCTTTCTCTCCTAGATCTTTGTCCTACAATTCCTCACTGTTTGGTAGCCTTCCATTCATTTGGAACTTGCTTTCTTCATTCTTTCCTTTTGTTCCTTTTTTGTTTGTTTTTATTTTTGTTAGGTCTAGCCTTTCTAACTGTTCACAGAAGATTGGTGTGTTTGAAATAACCCATTCCAGGCTGGCCCTGTAGTACAGCCATTAAGTGAAATAACCCATTCCATCACCCTGGAATGCTAAACTCTCCTTTATCACACGTTTTGTCCCAAGCTGTTCAGTATAGCAAGTCTCCACCTTCTGCATGACTTTGAGTGCCCTCTATATTTTCATCAACCCTGTCTATCTGAGTTAGAACAAAGGGTAGGGATTGGAGAGTGTTTATGTTCAATCTGTGAATTTATGTCTACTTATAGCTATATGACATTGGGCAAGATACAGAGCTTTTCCATAATTCCCTTATAAAATAAGGCTAGTATGACCTACTTTACAAGATCACCAAGATTAATATGAGTGAAATTTTAACACAATCCCATGTAATAGCACTTAGCATTTACTGAACATTGTTATAACTGCCAGTTCTACTGAAAATAATACATAAGTCAACTTAAAAATGAATCTGATCAGTCTCTTCACTTTTTGGTAAAATAAATGTAGACATTTTCACCTTTATAACTTGCTCACACTACTCTCCAATTCTCCTTTTTCTTAATGCAGTGCAACACATTCTTCAAGGTCCAAATGAAGTTCAACCTCCACTATGAAAGGTGTGCCAAAAGTTTAAAATGTATACTTGACTCTAATTTGTATTTAACTTGACAGTGCATAATTTATCAACTATCCCCTAATTTTGTGTTAATGTCTTTCTAAAACTAAATTTATAAAGTGCTTAAAAAACATCAAATATAACTTGTATTCTTTACAACACTCAGGATAACAGCAAACATGTAAGAAGCCATCAAAGCAGACATGTGGCTCAGTAGAAAAAATAAGTTTTTCATATCTTTTAGATATGTTTGAATTGGTAATCCAAAGTACCCAGAATGGGGGAAGAGGCACATAGGGATATAGGCAGAAGAAAAAGAAAATAAGTAATTAAGCACATCACAGATTCTTTTGGTAAAATATTTACTTAAATGCTTCATTGTAAGCATAACTTAAACTAACCTAGTTGCATTATTGCAAAATGACAGTTCAAAGTTCCACTTTTACAATTCAAAGTTTAGAATTTAATAGGAATTGTCTGGTTCCTTTGAATAGGTCCTTTCTTTCACTTGGGGGAAAGAAGGGGAAGTAAAACCCTTAGTAGTTCAAGAAGTTAGCTAACATAGATCTATACTCCATGGAATACTATTCAGCCAAAAAAAATCAACAAAGCTCTAGAATTCAATTGAGAGTGGACAAATAAGAAACATTTGTTGCTGAGTGAAGCAAGTCAGGCTATTAAAGAGAGACATTGCATGTCTCCAATTAACATATACCGACTGCACTCTATGGTAGAGACTGAAAGACTGGAGGGCATAAAAGTATTAAAAATTGTAATTGACCCTAGAGACAAAGTGGAAAGAGAGTATGAGAGGGGAAAACAGTAGGAAATTTGGGGGGTGGAAATGGAGAGGTAAGATACTTGAGGGACACAGATGAGGTTATTTTCTATTGATGAGGATGTGTACGGTGGTCTCGACTGGGCTAGACTAAGGTGTATATCAGGCTGGGTAAAGTTTCTTCACAATCTAAATGATGTATAGCAATTTAATGTATGGAGAGTAATAGAAATATACTTTTTAAAAAAGAGTGTTCTCTTAGGGGGCCAGCAGGTGACATGGTGGTTGGGGGTGCTGGGGGTTAAGGCGCTGGACACTCCCACATGGCCAACCAGGGTTCGAGTCCTGAGTCTGGTGGCTTGCTTTCTCACTTCCTCTCTTTTTCTCTCTCTCTGTCTGTCCCTCTCTGGTCAAATTATAATAAATAAGTAAATAAATAAAATATTCCTTTTAAAAAACTTTAAAAAAGAGTGTTTTCCTAGTAATAGTCATTAAAATTATAATGATCTGCCTTAATTTTAGTCAAAATGCACTGTTTATGAGAATGAAAACAAAATAAAGATTTTATTTTTTATTGCTAGTATAAATGGGATTTTTCCTTTAATTTACTTTTCAGATAGTTTATTAAATGATGTACTTTGGGACCAGCAGTTAGTGTAATGGCTATGTCGCTGGACTCTCATGTACTCGACCGTGGTTCAAGTCCTTGACCCAGAAGCTTAAACTCATGCTGGGCACATGTGTGTGCATGCCCAAGATCCCGAGAGGGTAATGGAGGAGAAGGGATTGTGGTGTGGCCATCCCCCCGGGAGGTGATTTCTTGCTTTCTCTCTCTCTTTCTCTCTCTGTCTTTCTGGTGAGTGTGCGCACTCTATAGCAAAAATCTCCAAAAAAATGTACTTTTATATAATGAAATCTTTGTTTGCAATTCTTGAAGTTTTTTGATTATTTACTTTTATCACAAATGTAGAATACATGCTAAATGGTTTGTTAAAACACAACCTTAAAAACCTTAAATTTTTATGAAGATTATTTCCAAAGAATTTATGCTATTCTTTTTTTTTTTTTTTTCCGCTATAGGGCGCGTGCGCTCGCCAGACAGCCAGAGAGAGCCATCGAGACAGAAAGCAATTTTTTTGAAACCACCCCCCAGGGGGGATGGTCATGCCGCAATCCCTTCTCCTCCATTCTCCTCTCGGGATCTTGGGCACGTACGCACACGTGCCTGGCGTGAGTTTTAAGCCACCTGGTCCGGGACGCGAACCACGGTCGACTACGTGGGAGTCCAGCGACATAGCCATTACACTAACTGCTGGTTCCCAATTTATGCTATTCTTATAATTCATCTTTTTCATATATTTCTGCTTTAATATCTCTTTCTTCCCATTAATATAAAAACAACAATATTATTAAAATAACTATTTAGTGAAAATTACTAACTCTAAAAATCATCCCATCTCTGACAATTTCTGGCTCAATTCCCTACCCACAACCTGGTATTTTATTAATAAAAATTTGTGCATTGCTATTTCTGGCAGCATGAAGCCTTTTAGTGATTGTATTAGGTTGTCAGGAAATTCATGATGTATTTTACTGTTTTTTCTATGAAAAAATGTGTCATGATTCTCCAGACAACTCAATAGATTTAAAACATAATTTTTCTTTTAGAAAGTAGCAATGTAATTCAGTGCTCAATAATTGTCGCATACTAAGAATGATGCTAAAACACATCCATGGTTATTTACAGCTAATAAAATGTGATGAAAGTAGTATAGTTGAGATTTTAGAGTTTATTTTTTTAAAGAATTATTTTACTTAAATTTATGTATGTATGTATGTATGTATGTATGTATGTATGTTTTATCAGAGTGAGAGAGAGAGAGAGAAAGAGAAAGAGATAAAGAGAAAGCAAGCCACTTGGTCAGGGAAACTAACCGTGGTCGGCCATATGCGAGTCAAGTCCCCTTAACCACCACACCAACTGCCAGTCCCATGAGAGTTTTAGTTTTTTAACCCCTGCTGGAATAGCCAAATTTGTAGCAGAAGCAGCTAATATCCTGAATTTCTTTGTTGTTGTTGCTGTTGCTATAGGGTATGTGTGCTCTCCAGAGAGAGACGAAGATAGAGAAGAAAAGTGAGACACCACTCCACAGAGGAGATGACCACACCACAATCCCTTCTCTTCCATCATCCTCTCAGGACTTTGGGCGTACACACAAGAGCTCAAGTGTTTTTCAAGCCGCTGGGTCTGGGACTTGAATTGTACAGTCGGCTATGTGGAATCCTGTGCCTTAACCTCTATGCCACCAGCTGGTTCCTAAAATTCTGAATTTTTATTGTTACAACCTCAAAGGAGTAATTCAAGTTTATAGGTGGAAAGCCAAAGTACACAAGTACTTTACAGATAATTGACTGTGAATGTTTCTAATTCTGATTTTTGAGGGGTCGAGGAGGCAAGATCTCTCGTAGTGTCAGAAACAGCAGAGATTGTAAAACAGTTCTGGCCAACAGTCATCCATTTGTATAATATAGTTAATAAGCAAAAAGAGAGAACATGGGAAAGAG